CGTGTAGATATGTTCATATTATAGCGTGTGAATACATGCATACTTATATTTATTGCCTGTGTCCTCGTTGTTGAGTGACCGTTACGGTTCGTTATACAAATTGGGATATCTAATCTCGAGCCGTTGTTCAATATGTATGCAGCATACATGCAGCATACACACGCTATATTACTAGAAGATCTTCATTTTTTTGAAATGATAACAACGCCGACATTCGCTCTTATCCATCAGGGGAGGGAAAAAGCATTCTGAAGACCGATAAACAATTGGACGGGTACCAAAAGAAGAAATATGTGAGTAAACTGGTGTACATCTACCTCCTGGGGTATCCAGTTGACTTTGGCTACATCGAAGCCGTGAGTCTGATCTCTTCGTCGAAGTACTCGGAGAAGCACGTGGTATGTGAAGAATGACCCATACTTTGTGTGCACTGTTCTGAAACCTTCTTGCAACACTTTCACGCTATGTGTAGGTGGGTTCAAATCGCACTATGTCTTGGCATAGTGGTATAGTGTCCGACTTTGTCGTCCCAACGTACAAGTCGCGATAATCACCCACTCGCCCACATGCAAAGGAGAGGGCACCATTGCCACAAACATACTTTCAAAATCCGGTTGGCAGCAATGTATACACGTGTCTGTCTACGCAGTACGGGAGGTTAGTGTCGTCAGCAGTTTGCGCTGTATCTGGGAGCTGGCCGAATAACATACGAAAATGCACAGAATTTAGATCCTGTTGCGCTGATATTGGCAAGAGTGTACTGTACTGAATCGTGTTGTAGATGTTGAACAGCTGTGACATCATCCGTATGTGTGTAACGTGCACCGCATTTGGTCACGTTCACGCAAAACTCGCGGAAGTGATAGCTACAGGTTTGTGTTGGTAGGGTAGAGAATATCTCACCTACATGCAAAATGCAGATTGCAAGTTCTAGGTCGACTTTTCGGATTCATAGACAACCAGCATCGACAGATATCAGTGCAATAGATTGCTCACATTTTGATGCTCGGGCGAACAACGTAAGCAAGCCTGAACGAGAAACGCTGCCCTCATCTGTATTCGAGTTTTCAGCGTGTGACTGACTCCACAACAGACATCTCGATATATATATGTGGTGTGTGTGGTCATCTTTGCAACGTCCGAGCAGCCACAGCCTGGGACTTTGATTTTTGAACCCGCATACTGTATAGTCTCGTAACGGTTCAGTGCAAAAAAATAACTTTTGCGATTTTTTGCTTTGATTATTGCTCGTTCAGGGCTATCTCTTTGTATCCGTGGTGCTGAATGAAGAACACGAGTTGATCCGGTTGCTGGTGCAATCGATGAAGAAGGATCTCATAGACTACAACGAGGTGAGTAAGCCTGCCATTTAACAATTACAAGGCATTGTATTACCATCTCTTCCATTGATTTGAATCTCTTGGACTACTCCATTGCATTCCTGATGCTCTCTCATGGCTCATGCCGATGTCTTGTACCATTGTCACAAACCCAGACCAATGTGTGCCTGGCCTTGAATTGCATTGCGAACGTTGGGGGACCGGAAGTGGCGGAATCGCTGGGTGATGATGTTTACAGACTGCTGACTGCCTCCGACAGTAATGCATTTGTGAAGAAGAAGGTAAGTATGTGACATTTGTCTACGGTATATCCGCTGTATTTTTGTTGTTGACCCGAACACTATCATATGTATATACACAGGCGAGGTTGTCTTTGTAGAGTGGTCCTAGATTGATTGATTTGCTCGTGGCTTTCCCATTATTCACCTTAGCGGACCCGAACGCTTCCTCTGGGAAGAACTTAGAGGCGGAGTCATATATACATTTGCTTCTATGATTGCATAGCGCGTTTGTTGACTGGATTGTAGTCACGTCCACGCTCATCGTTACGTGCATAGCATCACACACATGTTAAATACATAGCTCTAGCATTCCCTACCAATTGATGTCTGCACATCTCAATCTGATAGCGCTCAACGCAGGAGGTACTTACCTTGCTGCTATGATATCGCGAGATTTGTAGGTGTTAGATATTGTACATCACCTGTTGCCGTTGCAGTTGCAGACTCATCGTGTGCTACCGGATATTCACGCATGAATACATATCCATCCATCTCTACCTAAGCCAACCCATATCACACCTTAACACCTCGCCACATTAATGCATTCAGGCGGCTCTAGCGTTGCTGCGTTTATACCGCAAGTACCCACAAGTGTTGGATGTGAAGCAGTGGAGTGGCCAGATCATTGCGCTGCTCAACGAGCGTGACTTGGGGTGAGTTTCGCGTGTGGGAGAGGTTGTGTTGTGGGTCCCTGTAGACTCAATGCACGCGGAATTGGCCTTTGCTAATTGCTTCTCTTCAGTACCGATGTATTCACACCTCCATGCGGTGGTTTATCGGCCCTACCGCTGGTACATGCGCTCAATAGTCATTCATGTACGTACATGTGTTCCAAACCCAACGATACAGGTATAAACTCACGGGGTTTTATGGGGAGGGGTTCTTTTTGAGATATGTTTGCACGCACATATTGCTCGCTGATACGTGCGTGTTGACGGCAAACGACGATTGGTCACAGGGTACGCCCATCGTCAGGTATTGCAGTTCGGGCACCTAAACACAAACCACAAATATGCTTCGGAACGGGTTAACTACAGTCATACATGCATATTACATGATAGTTTCGGAACGAGTTAACTACAGGCATACATGCATATTACATGATGGTATTTACAGCAAACTAATACTGGCGTATTTCTTAAACAGGGTGCTCACATCGTCGCTCACGTTGGTCCATGCGCTGGCGGCAGACGAATACGATACGTACGAGCCCTGCGTAGCTGTAGCTATTCACCGACTCAAAAATATTATCATGGAAAGAGAGGACCTCAATGGCTATGTGTACTACAAAGTATGCGGTTTGATGCTGTTTTTATATACACAGACGCTCTCATATATATATATATATATATATGTATGTATGTATGTATGCATGTATGTATGTATGTATGTATGTATGTATGTATGTATGTATGTATATATATATATATATATATATATATGTGTGCGTATGTATGTGGCCCAAGTTCATCATGTTTCAAAAAAGTACTAGCTCTTCCATTCAGATGCATCCCTACGATACATCCAGGTTTATTTCTCCTTCACACAAAGCTAGTTTTCTTTAACTATCGCAGGTGCCAGCTCCTTGGATCCAAGTTAAGATCCTGCGATTAATCCAGACATACCCCCCACCCACTGACGCTGCTGTCAAGGAAGAGCTCAGATTCTGTCTAGATCGCATACTGGCCAAGAACGATCTAGTTAAGGTAGGACTTCAGGTCTTGCGCTTGTCTAGTGAGTGCATGGTCTGTAGATTCGGTCTGTGTATTGGTTTAAAAGTCGTTTGTGTGAGGATATGTGTTCTCTTGTCTGGATCTCATACTTGCAGAGAATGATCTGGGCAAGGCTGAGGGGTGCTTGATTGTAATTTATTGGCATGTGTGTGTATTCGGTTAAGGATTTAGTGTCAAATATTAATCCGATATTTGATGCATGTGTACAATTGGTGGAGCTCGGGTCATGTCTGGACCGCATCTTCGTAAAGAATGACTTGGTCAGGGTAGGGACATTGATCACGTGTTCAAATACACTGTGCGTGTATAGAGATAGAGGCTGCGTCAATGAGCAGAGGTCCTGTCCAGACCGCATTCCTTCATGGATTAGTATTGCCAATTCACGGTTTATGGTTGTATGCGTAAAATATCATTTGCCGTTACCGTCTAGGTCTCGTACGGACAGAGACTCCTGTGGTCAAAGTATGGCAGGGTACGCGACCTTGTATTGTATTGTATTAAAGTATCCATGTTTTTTTTAGTTGTAGTACTGGTTTTGTTAGCTTGAGTTGTACCTAGATTACATGTTGACATAGAATGAACTGGTCAGTGTGAGAAGTAGGGTTCCCTGTATTCCTATGAGTGGGATAGCAAAGGCTCGCGATACTTTTTATTCTGTCTACTGCCCCATAGATAATACCTCTTCCACAAAAAATCTACTTCATATCTAGCAGCCATACTGTCGTAGCATGCAAAGACGACACAATACCTGACAATTACCCGCCTGTAACACTACCTTATCCCAACCACACCTACACCACACCTACTGTCTGTAGTTCTCCTGCTTTGGTGTGTTGTATTCCCATGAACATGAATCAAATCAAGCGACAACCACAGAAAAATATCGATTTAAAAGCCATGGCCATGCATAGCCGCTGTTTCGGAGTTGTCCTGAACAATACCATAGCCACAGTTAGGGCGGTCACGCAAAACTCATACCCATGGGTTGTTTGCGTACCGTGCTCTCCCCGGGAGGACTATAAATAGTTATTTTATAATAGCAATACATGAGGTTATAGGAGAAATGAACCAACCATATATCTATATACCGACCGCGACCGCTCCGACCCCACAGATTGTGCAGACCAACAACTGCCGCCAGAGTGTGCTGTTCGAGGCCATGAACACAGTTATCCACCTGCAGACTGAGGCGAAGCTCACAGAGATGGCGGTGGATATCCTGGGCCGGTACATGACTGTGCGTGAGACCAACACCCGCTACATGGCTCTGGACATCATGTGCAATCTGTGCTCGCTGGAGATTGCGAAGAAGGGCATCATCAAGCACCAGCCCAACATCATACAGGCGCTCAAGTTCGAGCGGGATATCAGTGTACGACGGAGGTAGGTACTTGTGTGTGTGTTGGGTGTATGTAGTGCTCTTCAGATTCAAACTGCTGTTTATTTTTTGTACTTCGAGTATTGTGACTGGTGGACCACTGCGTGGCTGTGATTCTGCGAGTGTTGTGCCGGCATGAGCTTCTGTTTCGAATGCCGTCTATCGGTAGCCTCTGGAGTCTCAAGGCTTCAGTACAGTACCATTCTAAATGCTATAGTACAAATCCTCCCTGAACATCTCTCTGAGGACAGGTGCCTCATATCACGTACTTGCCGACTCTGTGATACCACAACCCCCACTCGCACTAATACTCTCTACCCATCTGGCAGGGCCTTGGATCTGCTATTCAAGATGTGTGGCCCAGAGAATGCGGTCACCATCATCACCGCGCTTGTTGGCTTCCTAGAGCACGCAGGCAAGTGGTTTTTAGGGTTTTAGGGTTTTACATCCCCCCCCCCTCCTCTCCCCCTTTCGTATAACGCTATTCAGCCCAATTAGGGACATGCATCGTCTTTCTGTTACCGACTTAAAGCGTAGATGCACCCGGTATACGGTATACCCCTTGTAGCTAGTACCAAGAAGTACAGGTCGCTCGGCACGACCACTCAACGGGCTGTGTATATAGAGCACACACGCATCGGGATCGTGCGACACAGAACATGCATGGATGACTTGCACATCATATGATATTTTATAACACTTGTGGTACCTCACAGAATACATCATATAATATTATATAACATTTGTGTCACCACACAGAATACATCATATAATATTATATAACATTTGTGGCACCTCACAGAATACATCATATAATATTATATATCATTTGTGGCACCTCACAGAATACATCATCCGCGAGGAAATGGTGCTACGCATTGCCATTCTGGCTGAGACTGAGGCCCGAGACTATTCGTTTTATGTCGATGTGATCCTCAACCTAACCCGCGTCGCCGGCGACTATGTCAGTCTGGAGGTAAGTGTCTGAGCGGCACCAAGTGAGAAGTGGTATCTGAATATGTGTGTAATGTTATAAGCGTGTAGTATGGTATCTGAATATCTACATAATGTTATGTGCGCGTGCAGTATTGTCTGTATCACGAGAGCATCCGTTCTGTCTATGTATTCCTTCTCATAGCGCGGGTTGTTTATGCCAGTCTTAGGTCAAGTGCCTAAGCTGCACCTGTGAGAAGTGATATCGATATCTTAATATGTGTGTGATGTTATACGCGTGTAGTATTGTCGGTATCACGAGAGCATCCGTTCTACGTCGATGTGACCTTCAACCTAGCACGGGTAGCCTACAACTCGGTTCAAATTGATTCTGGACTGAGCTACACCAATGCGAAGGTGAAGTCGCAAGTGAGGAAGCGTTTGTAGACAGACGTGTGCAAATTCGTGGGTACCACGCATTGATCAATTTACGTCGTAGTGATCCTTAACACAATTCAAATAGCCACTGCTTAAATCAGTTTGGACTGGGAATCCAAATACTGAACACGAAAAATTGGTCCTAATTTCTCACATTTCAGGTCTGGCAACGAGTGATCCAAATCATCACCAACCGTCAGGATGTGCAGGAGTATGCGTGCCGCGTTTGCTTCCAGGTTAGTTGTATGCACTTATTTGTATGCACAATTACATCACTTTGCCAGATGCGGCCATTTCAGCCGCCCTAGTAGTCGGTCTTATCTGGTGTCTGTCCGGGTTGATTGTGTATAATATCTTTCTAAAGTATTGTCGCGATATAGTGATAGGTTGTCAAATCATGTATACAGCTCCATGGTCAGTTATTATAACAAACGGGTTCACAAAGGTCTGCATCTGTTCACCATTGCTTGACATGAGCACGTCTTGTCTGCATGTGTATACGTTATCCACAGAAGTGATAGATACGGTGCTAGCAGTTGATGCGCTGAACACAACGGCTGGGGCATATAGTACACGCTACGTGATATTCAATGCCTGGTAAAACGTTAAAATGTCAGAGTAAATTGCTCAAATCAGTGTGCACAACATTCCATATTTCGCCTATATGTCACCTGCATTTCACTTTCATTCCACCTTATTTGGCCCTTAAATCACTCTCGTGTATATCTTACAGGCTCTCAGTTCGCCGCCTGTGCACGAAACAATGGTCAAAGTAGGCAGTTACCTACTGGGCGAGTTCGGCCATCTGATTGCGAATACGCCTGCATCATCGTATGTCAGAGGAATGATCGATGTATACATATGTTTATATATATATA